ATTATATATATATATATATAATAATAATAAAATAATGATAATTATTATTATTATTACTACTACTAATCCGCGATTGCAACTTTTAGTATGCAACTGTCAACCCAACCGATCACGTATTATGGTCGAACCATAACCCAAAATTCGGGGTGTTACATTACGTCTGATCAGGTAATAATTTCCCCAGTCGACTGTATCTTCACTGCACTGAAGAAGACACGAGAAGCTGTCTGCCATTGACTTGGATTTGCTCTCTCTTTCATGGAGTTTTCCTCTTTTAGCTAAGTTATCCGAACCTTTCCCTTTTCAGGTTGTTGCCTATTTATTGCATAGTTTTTTGTCTCTGTTATCTTCTTCAGAAGGTGATAGTGACTAAGATGACGAGTGCATTGTGAGCGACATGGAGGCAGGGGCCGAGTCGGCCTAGGGAGGGGTATTCGGGTCATTATTTATTGTTGGGGAGAGAACTATTTAAACAGCAGAATGTTTGCTATTTTGGATTAACGAATAATCATATCAGAATTTCCAAATCCCTAATTCCTCTTCAATCTCTCAATTCTCATCCTAATTCCCAATTCTCAACCCTAATCTTTCTATTCTCATCCCCAATTCTTGTTCGTAACATCTGTGTTCCTCACAATGGTATTAGAGCTGTGTTCGACATGAGTTCTTCAAGGCTCTCGGACGGGGACCAGATGACGTGGACTGATACCCGCCTGTTGAGCTTGCTCCCGCGGCTTGAGCGAGTGGCAGAGGACATACGGGTGGCGATTGGCGAGGTGAAGGCGATGGCAGAGGGTCGGGTTCCTTTGGTCGCAACAGTAGCAGTGCGGGACCATGCGAAGGCGATGAAAAGGAGGAGGCAGGCAGCGCAGACCAGGAAACCATCTCCGTCGTCGTTGCAGGCGAGTCCGCCGGGTCAGCGACCATGCGATTCAAGGCGTAGGTCGCGGAGGAGTGGGGAGTGGCTCTCGTGGACAGCAACGCTTCCCTCAACTTCGTGGGAGAGGAGTTTGTGAAGCGTTTGAACCTCTCGCGGTCGCCCATCGATCCCTTTGACGTGAAGGTCGCTAATGGCGCACCACTGCGATGTGCAGGGAAGCAGGAAGGGGTTTGCGTGAGGATTCAAGGGTTGCATATTCCTCTTGATCTGTACGTACTGCCGTTGCACGGTTTTAACGTGATCCTGGGAATGTCGTGGCTCAAGAGCTTGGGATCGGTGACTAGCGACTGGGTGAAGATGATCATGAAGTTTAAGGGGAGAGACAAGGACTGGGAGCTGCAGGGCATGATTCCGGCGGCTGGGCCGATTGGATGGGGTGATCCACAGCTCGAGGAAGACCTGGAGCTGGCCGTGCTCTGCAAGCCAGTGGAGCTCGACGGCGGACAGCCCCTGACACCGAACATGCTGGTATTGTTAGACCGGTATGCGGGTCTATTTGCACACCCAAACCAACTTCCGCCGAAATGCCAGGTTGACCATCGAATTCGGCTCAAGGAGGACACTGAAGCGGTTAACGTATGACCGTATAGGTATGCTGATGCCCAGAAAGCAGAGATCGAACGCCAGGTGGCAGAGATAATGACTACCGGGTTGATTCAGGCCAGCTCTAGTTCGTTCTCATCGCCGGTATTGTTGGTGAAGAAGAAGGATAGCACGTGTAGATTTTGCACTGACTATCGTGCCCTGAATGAAGTAACAGTATGCGATCTGTTCCCGATTGTAGATGATATGCTAGACGAGTTACGGGATGCGCAATACTTCACGAAGCTCGATCTGCGAGCAATTAGATACACATGCATGAGGAGGACATTCTGAAGACCGCTTTCCGGACACATAGTGGCCATTACAAGTACCTCGTGATGCCCTTTGGACTCTGCAATGCACCCTCGACGTTTCAGGCGACCATGAACGACATCTTTTTGCCTCTATTACGCAGGTCAGTATTGGTGTTCTTCGATGACATACTAGTTTTCACTAAATCGTGGGAGGAGCACCTACAACAATTGCGGGAGGTGTTTGAGATATTGCAGGCGAACCAGATCTATGTGAAGGCATCCAAATGTGCCTTTTGCGTTCAGGAAGTGGACTATCTGGGACTTGTGATTTTGGGTGACCTAGTGCGAGTAGATCCGCTGAAGATCCAGTCCATGATGGACTGGCAAGTGCTGAAGACTGCGACGACACTGAGGGGCTTCCTCAGTCTGATGGGGTACTACTGGCGATTTGTTCAGGGTTACAGTTCAGTAGCAGGGCCGCTGAACACATTGTTGAAGAAAGGAGACTTCAGTTGGACCCCGGAGGCCGAGAGAGCTTTCGGCGAGCTCAAGGCTGCCCTATCCACGACCCCAGTATTGGCATTACCGGATTTCTCCCAGCCATTTGACATCGAGACAGAAGCATCTCATTGCCTTCATGAGCCACACTCTTCCTCCGTCCAAAGAGGCTTGGTCGACGTACCAGAAGGAGATGCATGCTATCACAGAAGCAGTATAGATGTGGAGACCCTATTTGATTGGCCAGAATATTCGCATCTACACCGATCACCAGAGCTTCAAACATTTGATGGATCAGCGGGTGTCTACTCTAGACCAGCACAAGTGGGTGGTGAAGTTGATGGAGTACAACTACGAAATCCACTATCGACTGGGGCCGATGAACAAGGCCGCATATGCACTGTCGAGGGTGGAGTTGGGGCCGCAGGTGGCGGCAGTGACTGGACCAGTGGTGCAGTTCTGGAGATTCGCAAGGCGATGGAGACGATCCCATACCTACGAGAACGGCGCGACGTGGCTCTTAACAAGACACCAGGAGGGTACACGTTCTGACACGGGCTGGTCTACTTTAAGGGACGTGTGGTCCTTACGGCTACCACTTCTCTGACGCCGACCGTCATGAGGGAATTCCATGATTCCCCTGTTGGAGGCCATTCTGAGCATGAGAGGACCTTGAGGAAAATCTGCAGTCAGTTCTACTGGCCGCAGATGACCCGCAAGGTCAAAGATTATGTGGCCTCCTATGAAACTTGTCAGCGGGTCAAGGCGTCGTTGCTACGAGCGGTCGAGTTGTTGCAGCCGCTACTAGTACCAGAGCGAGTGTGAGAGGATATTAGCATGAATTTTATAGTGGGACTACCACCGTCAGGAGGGAAAACAGTTTTGCTAGTGTTGGTGGACCGACTGACAAAGTATGGGCACTTTATGGCTTTAGCACACACTTACACTGCTAGGAGTGTCGTGGAACAGTTTGTCTGGGGTGTAATTCGACATCACGGGTTTCCTCGGTCGATCGTGAGTGATCGGGATGCTCTTTTCTTGGGCAGGTTCTGGAAGGAGGTGTTCTCGATGGCTAAGACGGAGCTGAAGATGAGTTCGGCCTATCACCCGCAGACGGATGGCCAAACAGAGGCGGTTAATAAGATACTGGAGCAGTACTTGAGGTGCTTTGCACACCAGCAACCTCGACGTTGGCTTGCCATGTTGCCTTGGGCCGAGCTGTGGTATAATACCACCTATCATCGGTCGATCCAGATATCTCCATTCGAGGCTTTCTACGCGCGAACGCCGCCTATGCTGGTGCGCTACCAGTCCTGAACGAGTGCGGTGGATGTGGTAGACAGGTGGCTGCCTCCAATAATCGGATGAAGCAGCAAGCCGATTCTGGGCGGCGAGATGAGGAGTTCACAGTGGGGGATTGGGTCTTGCTTCGATTACACCCGTATCGACAGACATCAGTGTTCCGCAGAGCATATCAGAAGCTCGATGCCCGTTATTTTGGTCCATATCAGGTGCTGGAGCGGATTGGGGTTGTGGCATATCGTCTACAGCTTCTAGACACTGCTCGGGTTCATTCTACAGCTTCCAGACACTGCTCGGATTCATTCTACAATTCATGTGTCCCTCCTACGTAGGTATCATGGAGCGGAGCCACCGGCAACACCACCGGAGCCGCCCGTCGACTGAGATGGCAGTCTAGGGTTGGAGCCTGAAGCGGTGCTCGACACGCGTTGGCCGAAGCGGGGCAAGCGTCGCGTGGCGGAGAGCCTCATCCTATGGAAGCATCACGGACCAGAGGAGGCTACTTGGGACGACACGGAGACCATTCGTCAGAACTACCCTACATTCGATCTTGAGGACAAGCTCGGTTCTGAAGGGGAAGGGAGTGTGAGCGACACGGAGGCAGGGACCGAGTCGGCCTAGGGAGGGGTATTCGGGTCATTATTTATTGTTGGGGAGAGAACTATTTAAAGAGCAGAACTTTTGCTATTTTGGATTAACGAATAATCATATCAGAATTCCAAAATCCCTAATTCCTCTTCAATCTCTCAATTCTCATCCTAATTCTCAATTCTCAACCCTAATCTTTCTATTCTCATCCCCAATTCTTGTTCGTAACATTTGTGTTCCTCACATGCATGTCCAACACTCCAACTTATGGTTTTACCCGAAGCACACCACTGGTTGAAATCTGGCTAAGGAGTAGCCGAGGTTTCCCATTGTTCTATATTCATTTGCTCTCCGGGAAATGCCGAGTGAAGTTGTTCATTTTGTCATATGTGTCTTCAAGGGAGTCTCACAAGTACGGTTTGTGCTGCAACTCAAACAAGGAGAGCTCTGTAGACTGTGGTGGAGAAAGAGTTTAACGGCACTTAGATACTGAAATTAGCTTCAATCCTCCTCCTTCTCGATACGAGATAAATAGAAAGCAACAATCTAAAGCTTTAGTTCCGCCCATTGGAACGCCTCTTTCTCACAGGGCGAAATTTTACCTCTTGCTTTACAAAGATTGTTATGAACTGACTAAATGACTAGATTTTCCTGGAACGTAAGCTAATAAATATATAAATTCCTGTAACCTCTTTTCTTGTAAGAGATGAGTATTTGTCCCACTTCGCGTTAGTGTTATTGACGGCGTAAGAAGTGGTTTGCAATGCCACAAGCCCACAACAAAGGAGACATGATGCAATGGCCTACCGCCTACTATAAGCAAAAATGCGTTTTTAGGCTAAAGGAGAAATAATAAAACTTTTTAATGCTAGTACTTTACTACAAAGCAAGAATATACTGTCACAAAACTATCAGTACCAGTGATTGTTCATCTTTCTATTGAATCTCTCTAATGCAAACGCTATCAATTTATTTCTGCACTATAAAACGTAATCTAGAGCTCACCACCGTATCTTTAACGGATTACGATATTCCATCTAAATTCTTCGGAGCATTCATACGATGCAGTGGATATAAGGTGGAAAGTTAACACACACTTCTCGGAATATGAAAGTCAGAACGAACACTAGAGCTTGGGCCATAACAGAACTAAGCCACTCAAAAATGGGAACCCTGAAAGTACACAATCAATTAAAAGAACCATAGTCAATCATCTCTAAACCTTCTTCTTATCCTTCAATGGCCCTTTAGGAATTTTACTCAACACCTTCTCTTCGAAAACTGCATACTGTTTCTTCAGCTCGATCATCGCCTTCTCAGCAAATGCATCAACCTTGTCGTCATATTTCTCGTACAGCACGGGTAGAGTGTGTAGCAACACAAACACTGTTTCATTCATCGAGAAAAGGAACGCGAATCAGCAAATGGTGCCAATGAAAGCTTCTAGCACAGAAGAAGAAAGTGATTAGGTGGTTAATTTTGTTTACCAATGTAGAACAAGGTCAAGAAGTTGCAGCAACCCCCGATGATGGAGATAAACCACAAGCCAGCAATCACCTGAGGAAGCAATGAAGCCAAAATGAATAGAGGGCACAATAAGACGTATAATTCGAGAATTGTAACCCAAGGAAGCAAAGCTACTTACAATCACAAACTTCTTGAGATCTCTCCCCGATGCAATCTCGCGCAGAACAGTGCACCCACGGTTGAACTCGATTCTCAATGCAGAGGCAACTTCGAGGATGCACTTCTCAGGGATCACAACTTCGGGAATTTGGGGCGGTGATCTATGCAAAGAAGGGCAGCTCCAAATCAGTACAAGAAACAAGAAGCAGAGGAAACAGAAACAACGATAAAAAGATACAAGTAAGCAACACCACGCACTTGTTAATGAAGGTAGAGGCATTGGACCACAGGAAGAGGATAGCCAGGGAGAGTATCGACAAATGGCAAACTAGAGTGATGAGATGATACTCAAGCAATTCAAACAGAACCCAGATCACAGTTGCAACACCAAGCACTGCTCCTGAAATCTTCTTGTTCCTCCACAGGAGAACATCAGCAGCTGTGTTTAACCAAGCAAACAATTAGGAAGCAGAACAAAGCATTGAATCACACCTTCCCGTTCCATTCTAGCTCCAGCAAGCATTCATTCTACGTACTATCTAGCAATCCAATAACATCTGTGCGCTAAATCACCTGGTGCGCATTTGAGATTATCAATGGAATGAACACGATCCAGAGTAATTTTCGAGCAAAAAAAAAAAAGAACTTATAACAAGTTAAGCTAAAGGAAGTCGGTCAATCCTTGCCATCCATTACAGATGAAACATACAGTACAATTCTACCTGCTTCTAAAGATCGTCCGCTCGCAATCGGAACAAGGTAAGCCACAAACACTAGGCAAACACACATACAGAGGCGATTCGTTTGGAAATCGCCATAACAAAAGAAACGGCGATCAATCCGATGCAAGAAAGAAAGCATACACAACGTAATCGGAGCCGACAAATTGGAACCGAAAAGGAGAGTGGGAGAGAGGAGAGTACGTTTGCCGCCGCCCAAGACCTTGTGGACGGGCTTGTCTCTGCCGAAGAGGCGGTAAATCTTGGATTTGACGGCATCGACCTTGGAAGGCTTGCTGTCATCGTCGGAATCGGAGGAGGAGGAGGAAGAGGATCCGTCGTGGCCGTGGATCTTCTCGGTGATCTTATCGACCAGGGAATCGTGGTGGCCGACGTGGTCCGCCATGGATCGAAGAGATGAGGAGCGAAGGAAGTGGGGAGGAGAGCGAGAGCAAGGGGAGAGAGTAATTGAAGGGAATTATAGCTGATGGTGGGAGAGGGACGAGATGGGAGCGCTCAAATGGTGAGAGCGAGCGTGCAGTCTGCAGACAGCAGTGGGAAGGACAGGAAATTGGTGTGAAAAATAAAATAAAATAAAATAAAATAGTACGCGCCCGACTCCGACTCCGAGGACGGACGGGGCACCGGGCACCCGACCCGGCTAGATTTTGAAATAACGGAAAAACAAGACACTTGGCAATGTGAGTCAGTATTAAGTAATATTTTATCAATATTATAACCGTTAAAATCAACACATTCCATCAGCATTCAGGCCCCTATTGTTTTTAGTTTAATTAATTAAGCGTGTTCAGTGGTCACGTTACACACAAATGTCGCACCTACCAACTACCCTCATTTTATTTGCAACTTGCAAGAGATCACATTTTGTGATGAATTTATTACGATAATCGCACTTTTGATTGTAATCAGTAAATGACAGCGTTACTTTGGCCAATGAAAACGCATCCCCAGTTGGCGAAATTCCAGATTTTGAGGGGCTGGAGACGAGAGAGAACAATTACCAACTATCTCTTTCCGTTTCGGACTCGCTCGGCTTGGTTGCTAACTCCGTCCTCGCCTTTCCCCGCATCGGTTTGCCGTCCGTTTTGGATCATTCTTCTTCCTGTGGGCCGGAACAAGGGTCCACCCACAAAGCAAACTTGGCCCATTAGGCTCATGGGCAGGCTCAATCATCATGCCTAAAAGAGAAAATTCCTAAACTGGTTAGCTGACCAACGATTCCCAACTTAAGATCGGTACAAGGAGATCCGAACCACAAGATGCCTCCAAACAATTAATTTCTGGGAGCAAACTTAGCCCACAGAAAAGAACAAAGCTCGTCGGATGGAGCGCCGGCTCTTAATAGTTTGAAACGATCGAGTTAAGGGCAGCGACTTACCAGGTGTGCAGAGCTGGAGAAAGGAGACGCCTGCCTGCTGGAAAGGCCCTCTGTTCTTCAGAGAGATGAGAGTACACACAGACACACTACAGCTTATTTATTTATCTCTTGTCTCTGGGCGGAGAAGAATCAGAAGGTGCAGACGGTATGGAAAATTGGAAGCGAATATCCGCCTACCTTCGTTTTCAACCTTGGTTGAGAATCACAACGCTCAACAGAACAAACGCTGGGAATATGCTCAAGTTCCTCAATGAGCCTTATATGCACCAAATGGCCCAAGCCCAGATGGTCTCTTTTTCCATGTGGCGCGCGGGGGACTGGTAGATATTGTTGGGCTATGTATGTGTAGCAGGTGGATCAAATCTAATGTTTATAGTAATGGGCCGACCTTCCATCTTAATGGTGCTCATCTTTAATTTGGATTTGAGCCTCGTTAACGGATCCAAAAAGTCCAAATCCAGTGTGCCTACGGATTCCCAAGAAAAAGTCATCATAATCTTTTGTTTTTCTTTTAATCCGATAATACAATTATCCTAATTGTAATTCATAACTAGGGGTGGGCAACGGGACGGGATACCCGTCCCATTTGAAACGGGTACGCAGTCCCATTTGAAGAACAATCTCCATCCCATATCTCAAACCCGTACGGGTTAACGGGTACCCATTACCCGTACGGGACGGATAATAGGTACCCATACTACCCGTAAATACCCATCTACTACACCTAGCAAATCTTCCGCGCCTACACTCTCGCCAACCCACCTCAACATCCTCGACATCAGTCTAGATTTCGGTCTCCACCAAACGTTATTCACCCTAATAGTTAAAGCTTCTCTGATGGCCTCGAAACCTTTCTCCATGTTCCCTTCCTTCTCCACGTACCAGCAGCAATAATGGCCCAATTCTTCCAGCAAATACTCCCCCAGTTTCACCAAAGTGCCCATCATGTTCAAGTAGTCCCTATTATGCTGTTGCTGGCTTTAGAAATGCCTCACAGCCTCAACACCTCATCCTTGTTCCCTAGATTGACATGGATTAATGGGTATAACGGGTACGCGTAATACTCAAACGGGTATTAACAGGTAACTCACGGGTATTCAAAGTAGTGATTCTTCATCCCAAGTCCCATCCCGTAAAAAAAATTACGGGTATTTGGGTACCCGTAATCCTCAAAAAACGGACGGATACGGGTATCTCCAAATACCCGTTTCCCGTTGCCCACCCCTATTCATAACCAACCTTTACCTCTACACATCTTCCTTTATAACATATATTATATATATGGTAAAGCTTTGTTTATTCTATAACCAGAATAAAGGTAGAAATGACATTATTATCTTTAGAATTATTTTTTTATTTTATATAAATAAATATAAGCTCTAAAATTTGAGCTAGAGTCTTTTCAGACAAAAACAAGAATTATAACCAATTACCCTAAACAAATTTGTTGTATTATTTGGAATAAAAAACATATATAAAGTTAATATTAAAAAAAATTGCACTGTAGAGTGAGAAAGTAGAGTTCTGGGAGGCTAGGGTTCCCCGACGTTCGGCCTAGCTGGTCGTGCCGACATCGGCGCCGGTACATCTCTGGTTTTCCTCTCTTTTCTTTTCTTCAATGAGTGCTTCCGGATCGGCAGCTCCTCATCCGGTTTCGGAGGCGATCGATCAAAGGATTCCTTCGAAGCCTTGGGCGAAATTGTTTGGCATCTCTGAAGCCAATCGGCTGAGCTATTTCCCACCGGAAGTTGTTAATGGCGGTCTTCGAATGCCGAAGTCTGTTCGGGAGGCGGGGGCTGCTCGGTGGAAGGATTGTTTGGTGGGTCAGTTTCTACAGAAACCTCCTCCGATGTTCGTTCTGCGTAGATGGGTGAATAAGTTGTGGGGTCGTGACGGGCAGGTTCGGATTTCATTTCTCTGTGATCGACTATTGCTGATCAAGTTGCCTTCACAGGATACTTGTGAATGGATTCTGGAAAATGGACCATGGTTTCATTTTGACAATCTGCTTTACTTGAGGCCATGGACGCCGGGCATCAGTGTGGAGGATTTGGGTACAAAAGCTTTACCGATTTGGGTCAAGATGTCGAATGTTCCGCTGGAGTATGTTGATTCTGAAGGGCTGGGCAGGATTGCTAGTTGGATACGTTTTGTTTACTCAAACGTGTTTACCACATTGGAAGAGAAAAAGATAACAACTAATAAAAAGTAATTACTAATGCAGTTGTGATTGGTACGAAGTAGCCATTGGAGCACTCCCTATTGGTTTAGCCGACCATTGTCCAAGGAATTTCAACAAGAACATAGAATGAATGAAAGAGATCGATCCTACACCAAGTCAAGAGCAGAAAAGAGATTTATATGAGATATTAAAACTACCGATAATATTTTATTTCGTTAGGAATGACATAATGACTGGTCTGCCAAAGCATTGGGTACAAACTTTTTTCATAGATTAACCATAGCTCAGTTTGGTCCTTCTCTAACTTTTGCAGAAATAATTTCTGGCCGGAGCTTTTAGAGAAGTACTTTAAAAAAAGGCAGTTGAGTGTTTAGCTAAAAAACTATTAGAAGTACTTTTTAATATGAGAGGTTATGTAGAATGACTATAAAATATTTAGAATATAAATATGAATAAAAATTCTAAACAATAAAAAGTAGTCATTATGGATCTTGTTAAATTTCATTTATATTAAATAATATGATTTTATAATTTATAATATTTTTATAATGATTGAAATGAAATAAAATTATATTTTCTGAATTAAGATTAAAATATGGTAAGGATAATCCTGTATTTTTAAAATAGATTTTCGAAGAAACTCCAAATCGGAGTTTCTGCTTTTATGTTATACAAAAATGCTTTTTCAGCTTCTCAAAAGCCGAGCTTTTAGAGGTGTTTGGCCCAACTTCAACTTTTAAAGCCGAAAATCACTTTGAAAAGTCGGGCCAAACATAGGGCATATTTTGAGATTAAATTGACGGTTATCGCTTTCGTAACAAAAGTTTATCCGAAAGGATAGGGTTCAAACTTATTATTTTCCGATAATTTGTATCGCTAGCATCAGGGCCGATCCGAGATTTTGGAGTCTCTTTTCTATGAAAAAATGTCGTCCAAATTGTTTTTTTCTTCTAAAAATATAATAAAATATAAACAAACCATCAATCAATAAATAAAAATCCTAACATTATTTAAAAATAATATCTATCTAATTTGATTCAAGATAAAGAGTGATAATGGTTTAAACAGAAAGATATAAGTAAAAAATGATTATTTGAGAAATTGAATAAAAAAATTTAAATAATATCTAAATTGACAATGAATCAACTAAATAGACTCACTTGAATAGGTCATGAAAATATTTTTTTTTTACCGGATGTCCTCGAAGGGGCATAGGTCATGAGAATTAATTGAGTAGGAGATGAAAATAATTTTAGAAGAATCAAATAGTATAAATACATAATAGAGTAAACTAAATTAGATAAGAGAAACTTATAATTTTTTAATCTAAAGTTAAGCAAGGTACAATTTTTTTTATAATTGATTTAGTTATTTTTTTCCTTTTCTACTATTGGTAGCTTGTGCCTAATTATTCTCGTTAACATTTAATAAATTAATGCAGATTATTTAATTAATTTAGCATTACTTGTTAGTACAAGCATATTAATCTTTTCCCCCTTGAAAGCTGAAAATGAAAAAATTTAAAACAAAAAAAAGTTATGAATGCTAATAATAAAGCATCGACAATCTTACCACTTTTATTCTATTTAGGAAACATACGACAAAGAATGAATTATGTCATATGCTATGAAAAAAGTCTAATAAGAAAGCAAGTATTCCCCTCATGTGATCTATTTGTTCATTTAGCATTCGGACTTAAATTTTTTAATATTATTTTTTGACTCATAATTAAAAATCCAATTCATAAATGTTCTATCATTTTAAATTCATAATCAAAACCCACAAGTCCGTAATAGTAATTAGTAATATACATGATAGAAGTCCGGAGGACTGCGTCGGAGGGCCTGCCGGTACACCCTCAAGGCGCGCCCCTTCTAGCATCGCGTGTAAGATGTGACTTTGAACTCTTACTTGAATTTCAATGAGAACGCAGAATTTAATGTGCCTCTTAAGACAGTTTTAAGTTCTAACTATTG